ACATGCGTACTGTACACTACACTTGCTGTTGTACTCATTCATTTTTAGCTCTCTGACTAGTGCTTATAAGACTACATTCACACCTTGACAACATACAGTACAGTTGAGGTCAGAAATATTAGCCCAGGTTTAGTCATTTGTTGGTATTTGATAAAATCCATAATGCCATGTATCGGAACAAGACATTCTGGACCTCTGGGAGAAAAAAAAGGTTCACAATATTAAATATCCAGTAATATATTTAACCGTGGGCATGGGGTACTTTTTATTCCGGTGTATCCCCATGTGTGCCAAAAAGCTCTTTTTTTTGTTTCACCATAGAACCTGGTCCAGTTTGAAGTCCCAGTAATGTCTGGCAACTGAATATGCTGGAGTTGTTTTTGATTTAGAACAGAAGATTTTTTTCTTGAAACCCTCCCAAACAACCTGTGGTGATATAGGTGCTGTTTGATTTCTATTTATTTAGAGGCTTTCTGACCACAATACTCGAGTAATTTCTGCAGTTTTCCAGTTGTTATCCTTGTGTAGTCTTTGGCCTCTCAAACTCTCCTCTTCACCGTGCATTAGGATGATAGAGGCACATGTCCTCTTCCAGGTTGATTTGTAACATCTCCAGTTGATTGGAACGTCTTAATTATTGCCCTGATGGAGGAAGTGGGAATGCTTTACAATGCTTTAGCTATTTTCTTACAGCTACTTTCTAATGTGTGAACCTGAACAATCTTTTACTACACATAAGAACTATATTCTTTGATTTTACTCATTGTTATGGATGATTAAGGAAATCTGGCCTTTGTGTTACCTCATAACACAATTTTTATACTCCTGTGAAAGGAAATTTATACTCCAGGAAGTCATGGCTGGACAGTTTCATGATCATTGTCACCCTGGTGTGCTAAACAATGCAAATGGGAATATGCTTCATAGATATTTTATTCATATGAATTTCTAGCGGTGCTAATAATTGTGGCCAACCTGTATTGGAGAAAAACATTTATTTCATAATGTGATTTTTCCCACCAATTTCAATTGTTTTACTTCAATGAAAGGTTAGATTTTTTTGAACTTTTTAATGAAAGATCAAAAGGATAAACCATGCACATTTATTTTCACAGACTTCTTTGCTCATATTTATCAAGGGGGCTAATAATTCTGACCTCAACTGTATTTACTTAACATGAGTTTCAAATCCTACTAATCCTGTCCCTACTGTACAGCAGCTTACAGGAATGAATATGTCCAAATTACCAAAGTCACAAGTGTTTTGTAAAATTCAGAATTGAAGCAGATTTGGCTCACTTTTAATTTGAGAGTATGAATTTGAATTGAATTAGTCACATCCAACGAGAAGATAAATTGTTAATTGAATTGAAATGACGGGTGAAGTTGACTCTATTCTAAAGGAATTAGAATGATTATTTAAACTTTTTTGTCATTCTTATACTTATCATCCTTGGTGTGAACTGGCCTTAACTACAGTGACTGAATAAGAAAGAGTAAGCAGCTGGATCTAAAACCTTCGGAATATTGCTCTGTATGATGGGCACATTGCACTGTATGATGTGATTGTATGAAATTTGAACTGCATGATGTGAACTGTATGAAGTTTGGTTATAGAATGTGGTGTCACTTTTATTTATAATTACACTTTTGTAAATGTAACTGTATTTAGAAGTCTGTAACAGGACTGGCAACTGTATTCTGCTGCTGTGTGAAGAAGATATATAGACAGTCAGCAGGGAAGCAGCTCTCTAGCTGTTTCTTGTCTCTATAGAGGTAAAATCTCAAAAAAGCAAAAACCTTGTAGTCTTTCATAAAGTTTCAGAGTCTTGCTTTTGAATGCTAGAGTGAAAGAGGAGAAATAGCTTGAGATAATTGGCTGTCCTGTCAGAGCCTGCTCTGTCCTCGCAGCCTAGGGCTGACCGGATTAGAGCCCATGTTTCATCTGCGCACCAGCCTTCTGAGCAGCACTGCCAAGAGCCTCTCATTTTACCACGCTAACTTTCCATGTTGAACCCCTCATATGTAATGTCACCAGAGTCGAGCTGCAGAACCAGGCTTGAATCATCTTCAAGTCCATGCCTCACCAGGCCACATAACAAGAGCCTGAGCCAGACACCAGCGTCTGGCAGGCCGAGTCCCCCTCCTGGAGCTTGTTCCCATCTGTCTGTGGCTCCAGCGTTACCGCCACAGTTATTGCTGCTCATTTATGTGCGGTCTCAACAGTTACAGCACACAACAATACATTTGATAACAAGAATAACTTCCCATTTTGAGTGATCCTCACTGTTGACCTCAAAAGATCCCATGCTATTTTTCTTGCACGTGTGTAACTTGTGACATCTAAATAGCTACAGTATAAAATCTACTATAACCTTCATAGTCACCTGCTGCCGCAGATGGAAGACTTGAACTTCCAATAGTGAGGGCTATACATAGCATGTCATTAGACTTTGTTAGTGTAGGTGACCTTTAACACCAGCTGCTTGTCATACTTATAATGTTGTAAGTATAAACAGTAATGCAGTGTATACTTGGTTCAAAATGAACTTTTTTGTCAATGAGTATTTTTTTTTTCATTATTTTTATTGTATATTTATATGAAAGTGAACGCATTTACAGTAGTATATTACAATATAAAATTCAATATTAATAAATTAAAGGTGCAGTAGGACATCTTGGAAAATGCTAACTTTAGCCTCTCTGGTATAAATACATGTAAATACATTAAAGACCACTTAACTTAATGATTGCTATCGGGATGTGAAGAGACTTTCAACCAGCATAACAAAAAATATTTCTTAAGACAATCACCTAATGCACCTTTAAACTGTACATAATTTTCTATTTTTATAAATATTAAAAATATTGTAAATATTATAAATTATTTTTGTTTATTATATAAATGAATACAAATATAAATAAAAAATATAAGTAAAAATGTGTATATATATTTGGCTCTGGTCCCTGAGGGCTTCTGGCATGCCTCTAAGTCTGTCTATGGACATACTGAAAGCTCCGGGGACATTTCTCAGGGTAACAAGACAAAACTCTTTCCTTTCTTTGTCACTTCAACAGCTTCTGAAACTGCACTGTCATCTATACAAAATTCAATGTGAGTCTGGTAACAAGAATAACCACCCAATTCATTCACTGCAGAGCTCATCTCTGCTCCTGACAGCTTACTTGGATCTCTGGGCCACCTGTCACTCAAATCGATGGAGTTAATTAAGTCACGATGCTTTTGAGAATGTTTCATGCCAGAAGAAGCTGGCAAGATCTGCCTGGCTTAACTGATTATGAACTTTTATGTTTGTCTCAAGATTCTAGATTTGTATAACTGTCTGTGCAGCCTTGAGGCCATGGAGTGTAGAGGGTCTAACAGCTGTATGCTGTGTGTGGGAAAATACATGCCGCCATATTATTTTAGAGATCAACAATTCTTTTTTCACGACGGTACTGATACTTTTTTTTTTGTCTGTTTGATGATTTTTAATTGTTTTATTTTTTGCTTTTTGACAAAATAGTTGTTAGATTATAGAACAAAAACTAATTAAAGGGGTGGTTCATTGCGATTTCACTTTTTTAATGTTAGTTAGTGTGTAATGTTGCTGTTTGAGCATAAACAATATCTGCAAAGTTACGAAGCTGAAAGTTCAATGCAAACGGAGATATCGTCTTTTAAAATTCTGGCAGTTTAATGCCTACAAAAACGGCTGGTAGGGACTACAACAATCTACTTCCAGGGTTCGTGATGTAACAAACCCAGATAAACCCCGCCCTCAGGAAAAGTCAGCAAAGGGGAGCTGCGCTGCTTTAGAGAAGAGGAAGAGAAAACTAGAGGTGCAAGTAAAAATCTATTCATATATGAATCGTGATTCTGTCTTCTAACGATTCTAATGGATTCACAAGTTTCAAAATCAATGTTCTAAAGCAGCGGTTCTTAATACTGTTCCTCGCGTTCCCCTGCTCTGCACACGCTCTGCATCTCTCTCTCTCTCTCTCTCTCATTCAGATCACCAGCTCAGCTCAAACAATGAACTGTTCCAATTATACAATAATTTTCACATAGCTATATAAGAAGCATTAAACATGGACGCGCATGCGGTTGCTGTACTGTATTAAAGCTTTAATCAGGATAAAACCGTATATTAAAAGCTAACATAAGCAGTAGCATTTACAAATAACAGCGTATCTAAAAGTATGAGACAACAACAAACAAAAAACATAGGCCTACCATTAAAAGCCGTGCTTGCACAGGTTCTGCACGATCCTCTTCAAAAATATCCTCTGCTTCTCAATCGGGCTCAAACTGATAAGCGATACTAACAACGCCTTTGTTTACAATACAACCAGAGCACATGCCGCTGAGGTGAGGGGCGGGACGTTTAGACAC